CTCAATCCCAGAACCCTGGGATCATGACCTGATCCAAAGGCAGACGCTTAACCTACTGAACCCCCCAGGTGTCCTAGAGCCTGGTTTTGAAGGAAACCTCCTTGCTGGCTCCACTGGCCTTGAGGCCAGATGGTGCTGCTGAGCCTGGGCCCAGACACTGACTTAGAGCGGTGGTTCTCAAAGTTCGGTCCCCACAACAGCGTCACCCGGGAATTCTTAGGTTCTACCCAAGAGCTACTGAATCAGAATCTCTGAGGGTAAGGCCAGCACTTTGGGTTTGAACGAGCCCTTCTGGGACGCTGATGCAGCTGAGGTCTCAGAAGCGCTGGTTAAGAGCCACAGGGGAAGAAGCCGAGACTCACCTATGGTAGAACCAGCCTTCATTCACGGGCTTGGGACTGGCAGGTAAACTGAACAGGATGGCGAGGGCTGGCCGGGGGAGGAGGCCAGAACGCACAGGGGCTGAGACACAGGGGGGCTCCGATGGGGAGATGGCGGCTGAAAGCTGCATAAGGAGCTGCTTCCAGAAGGATACAGACATGATACCACATGTATGACGTCTAAGACACATGCAAAATGACCACCAGGTCTGGATTGTAGCTAAAGATGTCTGGGGTAAAAAGCACCCACAGGGGAGAAGCATACAAATGCAGCATGTGTGACAGCATGCACAGGGAAGGGTAACGAACTCATTTAGGATGGCGGCCCCGGGGGTTTGAGAGGAGAGGGCCTATTTCTGCATTTAGTTAAGGCTTCCTGCTACCCCCTTGACAGTACTGATACCTTCTCTCACATTCCGTGCCAGCACATTTCCTATGCTAACTTACACGAGCGTTATTTTTTTTAATCGAGGTGAAATTCCCTCTAAATTAACCATTTAAAAGTGAGCATTTCAAAGACATTCACAATTTTGTGACACCGTGGCCTCTTTCATTCCAAAACGTTTCCATGGGCCCCAAACTCTGTACGCATGAAGTAGCCACTCCCCATTTGCCCCTCCTCCAGCCCCAGGGCAGCCGCCGGTCTGTTTTCCATCTCCATGAATTTACAAACATTTCGTAGAAAGAAGTCACACGGTATGTGACCTTTGAGTCTGACTTCTTTCACTTGGCATCACGTTTTCAAGACGCCTCCATGTCATACCAGGCACCAGAACTTCACTCTTTTTTATGACCGAATCATGTTTTACTGTATGTCTATGCGGCAATTCGTTGATTCCCGGCTGCGGTGAACAGTGCCTATGAACAGTCCTGCTCAAGTATTTGTGCATTATTCATAGATGTGTGTATTGACCCCTCCCCACCTCCCCACTCCCCCACCACAGTGAACTTCCAAATGATTGGGACCTTAAAAGCTTTTATCTTTTTCCCCCCAGAACCCTAGGCCCTGAGTTTTTCACTTAGTAGGTACTCCACTACTGCCTGTTAAAGTAAACTGAACACTTTTCCTTTTAACCGTTGTTGTTTTAAAATGGATTCGCACGTGTTCCTTATGACTAGACCCAGGGGGTGACACAGAGACACAGACGCCTGGTCATTAGCACCTAAACGGAGAGGGCAGTATTCGGCACGGTGTGATTCGAGGGCCTTCAAAGTGGTTCCAGTTTGTTGGTGTTTTGGCGGTGCTAGCTGCGGTAGACTGTTGCTTTAAGACCCAAGGGAGAGGGACCTGTGTCCTGCGGCCCCACTTTGGTCCTCTTCCGGCCACGCCCCCGGCCACGCCACTCCCCACTGGACCGGAAGCCCAGTCCCCGGGGAACAGGGTCAGGGGTGTGTCCCTGCCCGCCCCACATCCCTGGCCTGCTGCCAGGGCCTGTGTGCTCCTCTTGGAGAGGTCCTTGAGAGGGCTGACTGCACGGGGCGGGGCGTGTGTGCTCCCAGGCCTAAGGGGGAGGGGGTCGTGTGCCTGAAACAGGGGATGGGGTGTGGTCTAGGAAGAGGGGGTGGGGGCAGCTCTTCCTATATCGTGGGAGCAGGATTTAGAGGAGTCTGAGAATTCTAAATCCTTTCAGGTCATTATGGAGGTACTTATGTCGTGGAAGGGAGATAAATCATTCAATAAAACGTGCTGATTTCAACATTTCAAATACATAGATACATGGTATGTGGGTCCCCAGCTGAGCTCTTTTTCTGACCGTTGCAGATGTTACAAATGTTCAGAAAGTCCAGGTTAAATATCTGGTCCATCACCCCTTTCCCCCTCTTGGCTCCGGGGCGGGGGTGGGGGGTGGGGGGCTTGCTTCTGAAAGTACTTGTTATAATAGCCCATCTTGCTAGAAGACTTGGATCTCGTCCCTAGCCCAGGCTGGAGAACAACCACCAACCACCACCCACCCCTAACCACCCCACACACCCCTCCAACTGCAGTACCCTCTCTTCCCACCGGTCCCTTTCTTTGTTCTCCAGGTGTTTATACACCACACTTCTCTAATACCCCTTCTTCCCCACCCAAACACCCACCTGCTGGCCATCAGCCTGGCCAGGTGCCCCTGTGTGGAGGCCCTTGGTCCTCCGCACAATCTCTCTTTTTTAAATTATCTTTTTTATTATTATGTTCAATTAGCCAGCATATAGTACATCATTAGTTTTTGATGTAGTGTCCAATGATTCATTAGTTGTGTAGGACGCCCGGAGCTTGGCACCACATGTGCCCTCCTTAATGCTCATCTCCCCCCTCACCCCCGCCTGCCCGTTACCCCATCCCCTCCCCCGACCTTTCTGAAACCCTCAGTTTGTTTCCCCACCCCCGTCCCCGGAGTCCTGAGTCTCTCATGGTTTGTCTCCCTCTCTAATCTCTTCGCATTGAGTTTTCGCTTCCTTCCCTTATGGTCCTCTGTGTTATTCCTCATGTTCCACGCATGAGTGAGACCCTATGATAGTTTTCTCTGCTTGACATACGTCACTTAGCATAATCCCTTCCAGGTCCACCCATGTCGATAAAAAGAGTGGGCATTCATCTCCTAACGTTTTGCTTCTCAGACAACCCTCAGGTCTGACTTACCCGTATCTTATTCGCTTCCCTCCCCACGTGACCAAGACAGACTGCAGAACAAGCTTTATTAAATTTATTTGCGTTGCGTATAAACAGTGAAAACCACAAATGCTAAAAGAAGCTGAAAACTTGTCAGAATGCGCATCCAGGCATTAAAAAAACTTAACAAAACTCTGTTTTTAAGTAAGGAGGTTAACTGTGGAAAAGAAATTATTAATGGATAGCTCTCAGAGTGAGGAAAAAAAACTAATAGTGGTCTACTCTAAAGAAAGGGGGTAGGGACTAATTACCAGGGTCACTTGACTAAAGGGCGTCTACCTAAATAAACTGTTCACATGGAAGTAGAAAGGAAATCAAACTCAGTCATTCCAAAACCTAACATTATCAGAATGGCAAAGATACAGTATCAGGAAAAAGAGATGTTTTATCAAGAAAATGCAAAAGCCAGCATATGACTCTACAATGTCACGTTATACCATCATCATCAAAACCAAGCCCCAAGGATTTAAATTCGCTCTGGCACCTCACTGCTTCTACGATTTTTTTTTCTTATAGAAGGCAGCACCCCACTCAGAATTTAAAGGCACAGTTAGGTGGCAGACATGGTGAGAGGTATAGCGAGAAGAAACTTCTGGGTCTCCTAAGAAAATGAGCTAGGGCCTATCCAGGCATCCAAGGGGAGTGCTCCCTTAGTGTTTGGTGTGTTTGGGAGATGGAATAGAGGGAAAGGACTTGGGGGACTGGCTCATTGGGGACAGGGTGTGTGGGGACCTATCCAGTCTAGTGACTTCTGAGGTGTGTGCCTTCAGGAATGAGGGGAAGGAGAAGCTTATCTGATTCCATCACTAAGGCTTCCAGTTTGCAGAAAGTTAATTGTTCTCAGGCTTTGGGGTTGCAATCTGGCTTTGGGCTAAAATCTTGTGAAACAGAAGCTGCTGAGGGGGAGAGACTAGAAACTGGGCTACGGGAAGGTGACTACCTTAAAGCTGGCGTCAGGGAAAAGAGCTCTCCAGGAGCCCGGCGTCTTAAGCGCTTAAAAAACAGCATATAGGGACGCCTGGGTGGCTCAGTTGGTTAGGCAGCTGCCTTCGGCTCAGGTCATGATCCCAGCATCCTGGGATCCAGTCCCACATCGGGATCCTTGCTTGGCAGGGAGCCTGCTTCTCCCTCTGCCTGCCATTCTGTCTGCCTGTGCTCGCTCTCTCTCCTTCTCTCTCTCTGATAAATAAATAAAATCTTAAAAAAAAACCAGCATATACACAGCATTCGGTATATTTCTCAGCAACTAGAGAGTCCCAATGGCCTTGGGATAAGAGGTCAAATACTGATGAGCTAACCATCTAGGGGAGCACGAGAAGCGTCAAGAAATGTTCTGCCTCCTAGGGAGGTGCTCACTGCTGCGAAACTGGCAATGTGGGGCTTGTGCAAAGAGAGAACGTTCTAGAAGTTGCAGGGATTCGAGGGGTGTGTGCAGGGATACAAGGGTGGTGTCTCAAAGGGCAATGGCTAACTGGGGGACTGGCTGTGCAAAACTTTTCTCAGAGACCCAGAATTTCCCGTCCCACCACCTCTTCTCAGGGCCTTTGTGAAGCTTGGAGCAGCAACCAAAGAACTGAAGCATTTAGCCAGGCTCCTGAAACCTGAAGGCCAGTCCTTGGGCCAGATCATCTGGCCATTTCCATCCGAGGGAATTTATTTGATCAAGGGAAATGACCACCACCTCTCAGTCGCTCTCACAAAATATTTTTTGCTTCCTCTCTTCTAAAGCTCGCGGTCCAGAGTGAAACATGTCGCATTGCTTTTGTAGAGGAAAGGCTGGGCTTTCAGATGTTGGCAGTGACTGTACTGAGTGAGGGTTAGGCTTTCACAGCATTTCTTATGTTAAAATACTTCCTGGCTTTAATTGTGCTTTTAAGGTGCTTTTGCTTAATAGAAAGTGGTTATAGGAAATAAATCACTACATAGCGTTAATGCGACTATTGGCAACAATTCCTCCCACCGGGAGCTGTTTACTGCATGATTTCCGATATATGGGTCCAAGCTTTGGCTTTCTCCTTGGCCAGGAAGAACCAGACTGGCTCTTCCGGCTCTGCTGGCGCCTGGACCGCAGCTGGCAGAGTGGAAGAATGCCTGGTTTCTTTGGCCATGGCAGGCATTTGAGCTATCTTCTGATCTTTGAATCCTGCAAGAACCACAGCGAGTGACACACAAGCGGTAGGAAGCTCCAGAGACAATGGGGGAAGTGTATGGGATACAGTAAAAGTTCTCCTCCTTTCAGGTTTCCTTGGGCTTCTAACAGTCTCGTGCATGTGGCCTGCTACGTGTGGTCTCTCGAAGGGATAAGATCTACCTGGCTCTGGCCACGGGGGCCTGGGCATGGGAAGGCCCAAGAGAAAATACCAGCCAAGCTTTGGGTGGTTATTACTGGACTGGCTCACACTTATAAATCGAGACCAGAGAGGAAACATAAAATCTGTCATCTATTCAGTTTTTTACATTTCAAATCAGGTCATGTTATCTCTGTTTTGCCGATCCTTGTTGTGTGAAATGACTAGTAAGGACTCAGTAGATCCACCCAGTACAAGTCTGTGCTAACGAACACTGTACCAACTACTGTGGCCGAACAGAAGACCTTCCAGTCCCCTGCTTCTACTCCTTCCGTCATCCTGCTCTACAGCTGACTGACTCAGTGACTTTGACTCAACCCCGGCAGGACGCATTAGAATCGCCTAGGGCTCTCTCTCTCTCTCTTTTTAAGCAATCAGACATTTATTTGGTCAATTAGAGTTGCAGTTCAGGATACACAGATTTGGGTAAAAGCCTGACTGCTGCTTTACAACTAGAGCTCTTTTTTTTTTTTTTTTTGAGAATTTATTTATCTTTTTGATAGAGAGAGCATGAGCAGGGGGAGCAGCAGGTGGAGGGAAAGGGAGAAGCAGACTCCCTGCTGAGCAGGGAGCCTGCCGTGGGGCTTGATCCCTGGGATCAGGACCTGAGCTGAAGGCAGATGCCCAATTGATGGAACCACCCAGGCGCCCCAGCTAGAGCTTTTATTTAAAACTACCAATGCCCGGGGGTGCCTGGGTGGCTCAGTTGGTTGAGCATCTGACTCTCAATTTCAGCTCAGGTCCTAATCTTAGGGTCTTGCAATCAAGCCCTGCATCAGGCTCCAGACCTAGAGCCTGCTTAAGTTTCTCTCTCTCTCTCTCTCTCTCCATGTGCCCCTCCCTTCCATCTGCAAAATAAATAAACAAATCCTTTAAAAATATAAAAATAAATAAAAACACCAATGCCCACACCATTTCCTGAACTACAAGAATTAGAATCTTTCGCAATGGCGCCAGGGCCATCTGTAATTTTGTAAATGCTTTAAAAGCTCAGCAGGCGATTCGAATGCACAGTTGAGAACCACCTGACAGGAGCAGAGGGCCCGTGAGGTTGTTAACAGCTATCAGCAGGCCAGGTGCCATGATTTCATGGCCAGATCACGGCTTTCTAAGTTCCTGGTCTAATTTCTTTATGAAGGGGATCAAGGCAGAGGACAAAAATGATTCCGTACAAATCCACCCTCCCCTCCCCCTGCTCCTGCTGTAGAGAAAATCCCCCTGGCACACACCTGTACTGCTGAGACCACATTCTATTCTATCCCAGCCCTGTGTTCGCTTGGCTTTCAACATCTCCCCGCCTCCCACACCCTGCTTAGAAGGTGGAGAAACAAGCCTCTGAAATAGTGAAAAGGAGCAATTCGACACCACTGGGCCCATATAGTGGATTATTTTACAGTGTCCCTGGGGCTCTGGAAGGTGAGAAAGTACTGTTTTGCTAAGAGCTGGAAAGGAGCTTGGTGTTTTCCTCTGGAATCACAGCCATGGGAACATTTTAGTGAGTGATCACAACTCTGTGTCTATTCCAGCTTCCTTGACGAGGCAGAGGACTGGGAGACCCTGGGAAAGTCACACAGTGGACCCAGAGTGGTCCTCACAATTGGATTTTCCTGAAACTAGCTAATATCTGTACCTAATGGAAGAGCCATGTGAACTACGAGGCTGATTTGGGGCGGAGGAGGGATTGGGGAAAGACATATTTTGTCTGAAGTGGAAATTGCAGAAGTTTCCCAATATGCTGCCAGGACTTTTTTTGGAGGGGGGTTGTTTTTACCTGCTTTGGTAAACTTAGGTAGCTTCTTCTCTGCCGGCTTCTCCAGTTTATTGACATCGGAAGCAAAAGTCTTTCTGGATTGGTTTTCAGTTGCAAGGCCAGCTCCCTTTAACACAACAATGAAAACAAAAACTTGTTAAGGCCTGACATGGAGGAGTGATTGGTTATTCAGAAAACCACAAGCGGCAAGCCCTGTCCCTTTATGAGCTCCACATTAGGCAAAAGGAAAGAGAGCGAGGGAAGGAAATAGCACTGAGAGGACCTTGGTTCAGAATTTAGGTTCACAAAACCTCAGCTGGTTCAAGTTTACCACCTTTGAGATCTGGAAGAAAAGGTTGTCTAATCATACAAATAGTGTAAACAGGTTAATGTAATTATCTAACTTGAAAACAACCTTCTCCCTAGCACATTACCAACACTTAACAGCACGCTAACAGAGTGTGGGGATTACGAACAAATCTTAACAAGGAATTGAAGTGAGTTCTGCAGGATCTCACTTAGCAAAACTGTTGACCTCTGACTTGCACTCCGTGTACCAGAAAGAGACATAGCTACGGGTCTTTCCAGAATTGTACAGTTTAAGCTTTTCGAATGCACCTTGCCACAACTGGTCTAAATTACTGAGTCTAGGTACCCTAGTGCATTTCTCCCGATGAAAACTTTAACCAAGGCATGCTTTGCCCCTGTATGTCCTACTCCCATAAAAATACTAATGATGAAAATGAAAAAAAAAATCTTTCGAGGAGAGTCAAACAGATCCTAATGTGATCCCTTGACAGATAGAATGAGCAGTTAAAAGTACAGGAACTTAGACATATCTCTTGGTATGTAAATGTGATATGTTTTCTTAGGTCAGGGTTCTGCGATTTTGACAAGAGGGGCTCTCATTCCAGCACCTCCAAAGACATGGCAAATGGGATGTTGAAAGCTAGACACCATCCCGTCATCCCTGATCCACAGGTGGGACCATTAATCTAGCTCATCACGTAACTCTGCTTCTCGCCTGTAGGGATGGGCCTCACTAAAGCGAACCAATAGTCAAAGCCCCAAATATCAAACGTTACTTTTATAAGATCAATCATTCTGGATGATATGGAAAGGTGCCCAGAAATGAAATGTCAAATGAAAAATAGTAGGTATGGTTCGATCACATTTATATCTTCTTCAATAGACACATATTCATAGGCATAAAATGCCTGTAGGGATAGTTATTCAATTCTCCCCCCAGTGGTTACCTTTGGGGTTTTTTTTTCTGTAACTTATTCCTCACTGCTCAACTGGTTTCATGGAATCCTGCTCTGGAATAATAATCAGGACAGGGTTTGATGTACGGAAACTTCTCATAGTCATTACGTTTCACAAACCCTTTCAGAGCATAAATTGGACATGTTATTGTCTGAGTACCAAGCAAGACTCTTCCCCGCAAAGAAGCCCGCGCCTTGATTAGTGCACCCAGAAAGGTGGGGAGCTGTGGGCTTGGCAAAGTTTCCAATGCAAGCTTAGTCAACCAACTCTAGTAACCTTCTGGAGTGTTCTGTGGGTTGCCGCAAGTTCTCCCCCATGTCTAGGCTCTTTGGCCTCGGGCTTGGCTCCAGCTTTGTTCTTGGTTTTTGTCTCTTTCTTGGGAATTTGGACCTGGGAACTCTTCTGCTTCTGCTTTACCATGGTTATCCAAGCTGGCTCTGAGGCTGTACAATCTGAGTGTTGGCCAAGAGCCTTCCCTGAGAAAGGAAGGAGAACAGTTAGAACAGAAGTGAGGCAGGCAGGGTCTCGAGCTGGGCTGGAGCCCACCCACACTAATGTACCAGATGGGATCCTTGTTAATTGCCAGATGAAAATGAACAGAGATTCCATCGAAAAGGGTCCCCTTCTTTGGTGTCATCCCCACAACCTGGCAAGGCAGGAGCTCCTCGCATAGATCAGTTTGCGTACTATCCTCTGACTGCTCCCTCGCCCTCCCTTGTCCATCCCTCTTCCCATCCCCAGATCAGGGTAGGACCGGGGTGGCCGAGTAGGCTGGGAAAACTGCCAGGAGGCCAGAGGCTCAGGCTATCGATATCATTCCTCGAAGTCCAAGGAGTATCTTATGATATTTGACACTATATATTCCCTTATGCAATCATGTGATTACGTGGGTGTGGTTCTAGGTGTGAAGACCATGCGATGGTCCGTGTGAAGGTACAAAGGCTTTGAGAGAGATTAGTGCTCAAAAGATCACCTAGCTCTGGATTCTTAGGCATTTCAGGTGTGGGAAGCAGCTGTAGAAGTAAATTAAGATTTCAAGCTGAGAGTCTGAACGTAGTGTTCTTCTAATGAGTTGGCTTTTAAAAAACACATGGTGTTGTGGGGGGAGCATAATACGTGTCTAAGTATTTTGGGAAAGGTATAATATTCTATCGAAAGGGAAGGTGCCCAGAAGGAATAGGCAGATGGTGGTGTGTCCATCACAGAATGTGGATGGATGGATGCCCCCGGGAAAGGGAAGACTCAAAATTACCCATCCCCAAATCCATCAAGCCACAAGCCAGCCCTATCAAAATGACAGCTCAGCAGGCAAGGCTAGAACAGACTTTGATCTCTACTTGGTACCTCCTTGTCCTCCAGAGAGAGAAAGTCTCACCTGGGACCTTGTAAATGGGTTGCTTCTTGGACATGCTTTCGGATTGGGGCCTGGTCTCTTGCTTCTCTGCAAGGTCAGATGCTGTGCCGGGGTTCTCTGCAGTGCCCTGGAGCCCCTGGGAAAAGCTTCTTTTGATTTGCTGTTCTGTGGAAGATGAAATCAGGCCCAAGGAGAGTGAAGAAAACTTTAAAAGATCATCTTGTTTCTCACTCTTGTACTTCTTCAAGGAAGGGACTTTTCTCAGGCGAACTCCAAAAATGGTTTCAACACCAGTCTCACCGGTGGATTCATGTGGATGGCTGTTATTTCGATCACTGCTCTTGAGACCTTCTCCCTTGGAGTAAGTGCCCCCCGCAGTGGAGGCCTGCCTGGTAGAAGCCATAGTGAACTTCACGGGTTTGGGATCTGGAAGCAGGGTATTCTTAAGGAGGTCTTCAGAGACTTGTCGAAATTTCCTGGTCTTGTTTGGAGAAGCTGGGCCTCCTGAGAGGGACCAGCTTCCAGGACAGCTCTCAGAGGTGGCGCCTGCAGCGGCGGCACTCACGGAACCCGGACGGACCTGTGGCAGGTACTCGGGCTCTGTCAACACCTGGCAAGGGTATCTGCGATGGCGAGGCTGGTGCTCCTCAGACCTGTTCCAATCTCCAGGGACGCTCGCTGGACCTGCCAAGAAAAGCCGTGGCTGTAATTCAACCACCTCCTTGGCTTGGTGAGGGCCTCTGGAAGGCAGTGGCTCTTCAGAACTCTTCCATATTTCAGGAGAGCTCTGAGAGGCTGAGGAGACTTGCTGGTACTCGAGCTTGGCCGGTGCCAATGAAAGGTGTCTGGGGGGCACCTGCTCCTTGGAACTGCTCTGCTTCGGCTTGGTGGGGGCACTTTCTGAACGTGGGAGAACTTCCCTGGGGCCTTCCGGCCTCCCCAAGGGCTGTAAGGGGTGTGCCAGGGGCAGCAGCTTGGAAGAGACGGCTCCTTCGGTACTGGCATTCTCTGGGCCCAAGAAAACTGGGTACTGGACTTTAGACCTCAACAGAGATTTGGAAAGTTGATTTGTAGATAGAGAATTAGCAGCACTCTCCGAAAACACTTTTTCTGCCATAAACTTCACAAACGACTGGGAAGGATGCCTGGACACTGGTGGTTTCTTAGCAGATCTTTCAGCAACGGTATTCTCTATACGTGAGGACATCTCCTGAACCTTAGACCTTGATGAGAACTGGGTAGGATATTTGGAAGCCACTGGCTTTGCATACATGGCTGTCTGGGTGGAAACACTCTCAAAATTGTATGATATTTGCTGGACTCTGTATCTCCCAGGGGACTGGGAAGTCTTCTTGGAAGGCCAAGGCTCTGTAGAAGCAACCCTCTCGGTGGCAAACTTTTCTGGAGCTGTGGAGACTTGTTGCCTGACCACTGCTTTGGTCAGGGCCTGAGAAGCCATTCTGGAAGAGAGCTGATCTGTGGAAACACTCCTCTGGGTCAGGGAGCCATCTGGAACCAGGAAGGCTGGTTGTTTGACCACTGCTTTGGTCGGGGCCTGAGAATGCATTCTGGGAGACAGCTGATCTATGGAAATGCTCCTCTGGGCCACGGAGCCGTCTGGAACCAGGAAGGCTGGTTGCTTGGCCACTGCTTTGGTCAGGGCCTGCGAAGCCATTCTGGGAGGGGGCTGCTCTGTAGAAACGCTCTTCTGGGCCATGGAGCCATCTGGAGCCAGGAAGGCTGCTTGCTTGACCACTGCTTTGGTCTTAGAAGACCTTCTGAGAGAGGACTGCTCCATAGCAATTCTCCTCAGGGCCTCCGTGCCCTCTAGAGCCTCTGAGACAGGTTGCTTGACTTTTGTGCTGCCCCGGGACCTGACAGAGCATCTGGGAAGCTTTGGCTCGGCAGGGGCACTGCGTCGTTCTGGAGGCACTCTCCTTTGTTCCGGAGGAGCATTGCGTTGTTCTGCAAGAGCACTGCTTAGTTCTGGAGGCGGGCTCCGCTGCCCTGGAGGCCCGCCCTGTTGTCCGGGAAGCACGCTCTGTTGTTCTGGAGGAGGACTGCGTTGTTCTGGAGGCGCGCTCTGTTGTTCTGGAGGAGGACTGCGTTGTTCTGGAGGACTGCTCCGTTCTGGGGGGGCGCTCACTGATTGCTGGGAGTCGGTTCGCTTCACTGCCCGCCTCCTGGGGTTCTGAGAAGTCTTTCTGGGAGGCAGTGGAGGCAGGGGAGCTCGTGGCTCCAGAGAAATGCCCCACTCCAGAGCAGCGCTCTCTTCGCGCTCGGAGTCCTGCTGCTCGAATGAGGAGCTCAACCAGGACCGGTAGACGGTTCTGGGAGATGCCGGGCCCGGCACCAGGGCAGCATCCGGGGCAAGGCCCAGGCCAGGCTGGCAGCACCCTGTGGCGGAGGCGCCCACCGGCTCTGGTGGGGCGGGCTGTGGCGGGACTTTGGGCCACACGGCGGGCTGCGAGGGGTCTCTGGGTGGCAGCTCCGCGGATGCGCCCTCAGTGCCGGTGCTATCAGCTTCTGACGCTTGCGCGCCTCTCGCATTGGTCAAGGTCTGAGCAGAGTATGTGGGGAGCAGCGGCTCCATCGAAATGACCTTCTCGGCGGCGGTGGCGGTGGCCTCCATACCCGAGAACACACTGGGCTCTGCTATGGGGTTCACGGAGGCCTGGGCAAGGCCTTGCAGAGGCCAAGGCTCCGCAGGAGCTGCCGGCATTTCTGGACCGTCGGGGGCCTGCTGTGGGACCAGAGGTCGCGTCGGGGACTGAGAGTCGTGTCTGGGGAGCGGCGGCGGCTGCACTGAGGCATTCTGATCGACCCCAGCACTTTCTGCTCCCAGGCACACCTGGTGCTCCACGACTGGCCTCAGGACCGTCTGGCAGGGACCTCGGGGAGGTGGCAGCTCCACGCAAATGCTCCCCTCGACAGCCGGGACCCGCACAGGCTCCTGGATCGCTTGCTCCGTGATGGGTTCCAGCAGCGGGTGGGAATGCGGCCTCGGAGGCAGCGGCGGCGGCAGCTCCGCGGAAGAGAGCCCGACAGCGGTAGAAATTTCTGGACTTTTAGAGACTGGTTGCTCCACCCAAGACTTCCCGAGGCGCTTGGAAGAGATTCTGGGAGGCAGCGGCTCCGGAGGAATGTCCCACTGTGCGGCCGCGCTGTCGGGGCCCGCGGAGGTCTGTGGCTCTGCCTGAGGGCTCGGCCGGGGCTGGACCGGCTGCCGGGGGGGCGCGGGCTCCACAGGGCTGCTGCTGGGGGCGGGAGGCCTCGCCGAACCCTTGGACATTTGCTGCGGAAGGATCGGCTCCGAGAAGGACAGAGCCAGCCACTCCACGGACACACCCCACTCCGCCGGGAGGATCTGGGAAACTGAGGCCACCTGTTGCTGGTCTGCAGGCTTCGCCGAGGCCTGGGAAGGGGGTCCAGGAGGCCCATCTTCGTCTGCGCTGCTCCACTCTTCAGCGCTGTCGTACTTCTCCACGTAGCCATCGGATTCTGTGGACATTTGGTCTTCAGGCTCCCCCAAGGCCTGGGCAGCCGAGGTGGGAGTCAGCAGCTCATCAGAACTGCTCGAGTTGCTGGAACTTTCTGAGTCTGAGGTTTCTTGGTCATCGTCAGGCTCCTCCAAGGGCTGGAAGGGGTGGCTGGGAGCTCGCTGCAGCTCGGACCCGCTCTCCTCCTCCTCCGACGCGCTCTTTGTTTCCGAGGATGCTTCCTCGGCTTCGGCGTTCCCGAAAGCCCCCGCCAAGTATCTGGCGGCCAGCTGCCGCTCGGGGCTGCTCAGCTCCATAGCCGAACTCTCGGATCCTGTGAAGACGTCTTGGTCGTCGTGAGGCTTCCCCGAGGACTGGAGAGAACACCCGGGGAGCAGCTGCTGCTTGGACCCGCTCTCCTCCTCTGACGGGCTTTCGGGATCCGAGGACCTGTCTCCGGCTCTGGGCTTTCTCAAGACCCAGGAAGGGCTTCTGGGAGTCAGCCTCTCGGCAGAAATGCCTCCCTCGGCCCGAGCGCTGGCGGGGCCTGAAATGCTTGCTGTGAAGGCCGGGAGAATGTTTGCGGGTGACCTTTCTCTGCAGACGGCTGGAATATCTTGAACCGACTCCATCTTCAACTTGATAGCTTGCAGATCAAAGCTGAAAGCCTCCTCCCCTTCTGACTGGAGGTGGGAGGGGTCCATAAACACTTGCGCCTCCGTAGCCACCGAGAAGATGACATCCTCCGGGGTTGTAGAAAGGCTTTCCGTCCCCGATGAAAGAGGAGCTCTGGCTTCTGGCCGCTCGGCTCTGGAGGCCCCGTCCTCCCGGCCTGGTGATGGACCCCAAACCACAGACTCTGCCTGGGCTTCGGGTACAGACTGGGACACTGGGGCTTTTCTGGTGTCCAAATTGACGCCAGCCTTTTTCTTTCTCTTGCCATCTCCATCTGGAAGCGGCTCCTGGGGAGGAGTACGTTGGGCCTGCTGAGTCGCGGGCTGCTCCATGACTTGTCGCTCCAGAGACAGGTTCCGGAGACGGCAGTCCCTGGCATTCTTCTTGGCGGGTGGGGACCCAGCCCTCTCACTGGGGACAAGCCCTCGACTGGATGGTTTAAAGCTTCTTCCTCGGGGCGCACACTCAGTCGATCCTGAAGCACTCGATCCTTGTTTGCTGCGAAGTCTCCCTTGTGCCGCTGACTCCCACCTTTCAGCCCAGGCCACACCGGCCCATGCAGCCTTGTCCACTGGCTTCTTATCCTGCACTTCGGTTCTCTTGCTGCGTTTCAGGCTTGAGACACCTGTACCCAATAGAAATAAGGGAAAGAAAAATATGCATGCCTGGGACGTCCTAAAATCGGAGGATTCAGCCCCCGCCCCGTGGGTACCTAGTCACTACCGAATCTCTTGGTATAAAGAAGCTTCTAGGCAGAACAGGGTCAGGGACTTGGCTGCTATTAGCCTCTGCAGTTGGAAATGTTTACATCAAAGCGAAATCCCAATTTTATGAACGGATTACGAGGTCATCTCATCAACCACCAATCAATGGTCTGGGCCACCGTTAGGTGTGAAACACGATTTTTGAACCCAAGGACACCGAATGGGTTCTATCCTCTGGGTGTAAAAGGGACAATTATTAAAAATAAATAAGAGAAAAAGATGAAAAAGAAAGTAAATTTAACTTTTACTTCCATTTCTTCTCTGTATGTGTGTGCATATGTTTCAGGACAGTTTGGTGGTTTTGTTAGTTTTCATGGAAAAACAAATTTAGGGATATCCCTTTTTTTTTTTTGAACCCACGTGTAAAATCCTTTGTAGCAAAAAATAGGAAAGAACTCTTCAACTTGTGGAATTCCAATTGTGGAATTGGAATTTTGTTTTATCAAGTATCACCTGAAATTAGGTTGCTGTCAACGGGAACCACTATCCCTATACAGACACACACACACACAAACACACAGACACACACACACACAGATTTTTTGCTCCAGTGCTTTGTGTGGCTTGGGGGATTTGGCAGGTGTTTGCTGCCAAGGACCTCTGTCTACAGCTGCCGGAGCCCTCTTTGCCTATGGATAGGGGAACTGGTCTCACTCTTCACAAAACCTTTTTCTCTCTACTGGAAGAGAACAGCAACCTTAAAAAAAAACTAGTTTTGAGGGGCACCTGGGTGGCTCAGTGGGTTAAGCCTCTGCCTTCGGCTCAGGTCATGATCTCAAGGTCCTGGGATCAAGCCCCGCATCAGGCTCTCTGCTCAGAGGGGAGCCTGCTTCCCCCTCTCTCTCTGCCTGCGTCTCTGCCTCTCTGCCTACTTGTGATCTCTGCCAAATAAATAAATAAAATCTTTTTTAAAAAAACTAGTTTTGAGCTAATTCTGTTATTAGTCTCTGGTTCTGGAGCTCAAGGGATATGGAAGGGGGGGAAATCACTGGTTGCCTCAGATATACCTTAGCCTTAGAGAGGATTAGACAAGCTTACAAACAAATAAGCAAGCACAGCACATCTCTCTGGTTGCAAATTCGTTTAGATAAAAGAGTGATCCAGGCATCATCTTTTACCTTAATCCCACACCAGTGGCAACGGTAAGAGTCGGGCAGTTTAGCTGGAGGAACCCAGACCCCCTTTGACATGCATCTTAAACCGAAAGCTCTCTAAGGGCCAGGGACAGACAGCAGCCTAGTAAATCTCATTCCACAGAGCCTGTCACGGAGTGTGCGCAATACACCTTTCCAAATGGGGGTAAGTGTGCGCTAACCTGCACCGTCTCTTCTCGGTTTCCATTTGTCCGCTTCTCTTGGCTTGGTTGTACTCTTCTCTTCTCCAGAAGCCACTAGAAGGATGGGCTCCTCTTGCTTTGCTTTCCCCTGAAAGAGGGAAAGAAAGAGCTTCAGACGGAAGTGCTTCCCACCCACCCCTGCGTGGCTGCCGAAGAGGTTGACCTCAGGAAAAGAAGTCCTTGATCTCCAAAGGGCTCTGCTGGGAACACAACCACACCGTTAACCACAGAAATGATTTCCAGTGGCATCCATCCCCTTGCCAATCATATTACCTACTGGAAGTGATCATTTTACCCATTGGGAGTGATTCGCCCAGAATGGAAGCTTCTGATCTCTGAGGGGTTGGCAGAAACAGCCCAAAATCCGCTGAACCACACAAGCCCGACGGCAGTCCTACTGGTGGCAACACCGGAATTCCCAAATTCGTTTCGGCGGATCTGGGAGCCAAACTCAAAACCCATTTGGCTTCTTTTCAGGGAATTTAGTGAAAGCATGAAGTATGTCTCTCCAGCTCCAGAGAAGGAAGAGGGCTGGGGTTTCGCTGGGAAAGGAGAGAGAAAATGACGAAGGGTTCGGCCCTTCCGCTGAGAGGGTTGAAGTTGGTTTCATATAAACAAGGTTTACGGATGATTACGGGGCAGCTTTGGAAATGTCAGAGCAAAGCTGCCCTGGACAGCGGCCGGACACTGCTACGTGTAAGCCTCTGTGACGTGCCTCTGAAGACTAATGTCCTACACCTTCTGCTCGCACTCACGGTGCCTGTGCAGACTCACTCAGCACGGAGGGATTCGTTCTTGAGTGAATGAGGTGAGGCAGCCCTGGGTTCCAATCTCTGCTCCTGTGTTCACTCACCACGTGAGCTTGGCCAGGTTGTTCGCTAAATCTCTATGCCCACACCTGAAAATTAGGGGTGGGGGGAACCTGAGAAACTCTAAAGCAAGGAGCAAATGACAGTGGCCTTCGTGTCAAACATGGTCCTAGACCCTTTTACATTCAGCCATGTCTTGGGGGAGTCACATGGAAGATGTCCTGACCTTCTGAGAGAGGGATGCCCAGGCCTTTTCTTCTTCTTTTTCAAAAAAGATTATTATTTATTCATTTGAGACGAAGAGAGATATATATGGAGAGAAAGAATGAGCAGGGGGAGGGGCAAAGGGAGACGGAGAAGCAGACTCCCCGCTGAGCAGGGAGCCCGATGCAGGGCTCGATCTGGGGACCCTGAGCTCATGATCTGAGCCGAAAGCAGATGCTTCATGGACTGAGCCACCCAGGTGGTCTGCCCGGACCTTTTTTTGATTACGCTATGTAGAAGAAGAGAGTCAGAGGCTCATACTACCTTTCCTTTAGACAACATTTGCCATCTCCCAGGTTTGTGGTGAGGCCTCCGGGTGAAAACGCATATATAGGGTTTAGTGTTTAGTAATGGGCCACCTTCTGCTTGACAACCGACCAAGGAGATCCTCTCGGAGCCACCAGAGGGCACCCTGGATCTGCTGTCCTGCTGACTGTTCTTTAACTCATATTTTGTTCTCTCTCTTTTTTAAAGACTTCTTTTGGTTTGTTTTTTAGAGAGAGAGAGCACACAAGTGGGGGAAGGGGCAGAGGGAGAGGGAGAGTACCTCAAACAGACTTCTTACTGAGCGCAGAGCCCGACGTGGGGCTCAATCCCGTGACCCCAAGATCTGAACGTGAGCCAAAATCGAGAGTCGGACGCTTAACGGACCGAGCCATGGAGGCCTCCCCTTGCTGTCTTTTTAAAGCTAAATTGAAGTGTCTGAGCTCGATGCAACATGGTGGGGTGAAGAGAGTACGGGGTTGGAAGTCAAGACTGGGTTCTGGCCCCAGATCTGTTACCATCAGGGTGTGTGACCTTTGTCAACTATTTGTGCTTTAATGTCCTTCCCTATAAAAGGGTTGTAAATCCTTCAAGAGGCCTGGGAATAAACTCCCACATAGGAAGACCTTTTAGTGTCTTCCAGCTCTGAATACATCCCTTAACTTATAGCCCAGAGTCACTGAGGAATTGGGTGTTTGACCCAAGTGAAACTTGCAGCTAACTGACCCATCTTTTTAAACACTGACATCTTCAGTAAATTAAAATTAAACACCAACGTTTTACCTTTTGCTAAAAATCTTTCCCAAAGACGTTACTTCCCTCTCTTCTTAAACAGGTATCAAGAAACACGGGTAAACGTTTCTTGATAACTTGGATAAGTAATGAACACGATCTATCACATTGGACTGTGATAAGGTGTGGCCCTGAGGGATTTACTGAGGTGGGCTTTACTGAAGGTTCTGGAACCCTCTGCTCCCAAACCATTTCTGCCCTCTTTCTCTGCTATCAATGGTCCCATCGCTCTGTTGTCAGATCTCCCAGTCTGGTGGCCATGTTTTTAACATAACTGGCCTGCCTCAACGCAGCTCTGGTGGCTAGGAAATCACGTGACATAACTTGGGGACATCTACGAGACACTGAGAGATCTCTGGGGGTAGACCAACAGGCTTCTGGACCACGGGTGAATATCCTCCAGGAGGAGGGTGTAGTGGATTTCCAGATGCTAAGCCCAGAAGCAGTTCCTGGGGTTCAGGTCCCTGCTTCTGCTTTCTTCAGTCCCTTATGTGTAAGTTCCACATGGAGAGGACATCCCCCCCACTAGACACAAGTTTGCTCACCTCCCCAGGGAGGGGTGGGAGGTCGGTATCAAGCTCGGGACAGTGCCCTTGACTTCACGGTCCTGACTTAGGGCCTGGATTCCTCAAACCATACCACTCCCCTAGCAACAGTTCGGGAAGGTCGGAACTCATCTCTTATTATATGGGAGCTTATCCCCAGGCCTCTTGAAGGACTTACAGTGGCTTGAGGATTCTTTCTCTTCTTGTGTTTCCGGGGGTTTAAGGCCATCTTGTGTCGAGCTGCTGAGGAGTCCAAGCAGGTGCTGGCTGAGCTGCTGAGACTCACGGGCAGGTGAGTGCAGCTGGGAGAGGCAATCATGGCATACGCGCTCATGCACTGTGAGTGGGTGGGTCCTGGTGAGGGCTCAAAGGAGCTCTGGAGAGAGGGGGAGAAAAGGAACGGGTCAACTCCCTATGCTACCACTGGTCCCAAAAGCTGGGAACTTCTCTGGCTGAAGGGCTCCTACAGAAGAAATCCTTGGGGCGCCCGGGTGGCTCAGTCGGTGAAGCGGCTACCTTCGGTGCAAATTATGATCCCAGGGTCCTGGCATGGAGCCCTGCACCGGGCTCCTTGCTCGGCTGGGGGCCTGCTTCTCCCTCTGCCTGCTGCTCCTCCTGCTTGTGTACACTCGCTCTCTCTGACAAACACATAAATAAAAAGTTGCAAAAAATTAAATAAAGAAGAAATCCTTCATGAACTACTGTCCCTTGTCCTCCAGCAATATTGACCCTTCTAGTCCATGGGCTCCTTAGAGGCAAAGTGCACACTTCTGCTGGGTTCCTTATAGGTGAAAAACGAGAAAGAGGAAATCCAGGTTGCTCCCCTGCTTAGAAAGGACTCGGGGGCTCCCCTTTGCCCTCAGGACAGGAAATCAACCACTTAATGGAGTTTATAAAGGCAAAGGATTTGCGTTTTCTCTTGTCCCCTATGTCCTTCTGATTAACTGGAGGGTCCTGCTGGGGTGAGAGGCACAGTGTGGGTCAGGAAAATCCATCAGGGCTGTGGGGTTTCTCCACAGGAGGGCTGAGTGGAGGGGAGAAAATAAGGCCGGAAGAGGGCTTGTGCGTAATCCGCATGTGCATGTGACAAGCACTGGGTGTGATGGGCAACTGATGAATTATTGAACACTACATCCGAAAGTAATGATGTACTATATGTTGGCTAATGGGATCTTTTTAAAAAGCTACCTTTATTTCCGGTTACTCTTGAAGCACGCCAGGCTGACGGGAGGACCCTGAGGAGTGTGTGCCCCCATCTCCAAGGAGGTGGGGAGGAAGCCCGTCACCTTGTCCTCATTATGGCTGGCCTCCACCTCTCCAAACTGTGTGGTCCCAGGGCTCCCAGTTCAGTTCCTCTGTAGGAGCTTCAAACTGGTCCCCTCTGGGTATCTTGACATAGCACTCTCTAGACCTCCAAGACACACCCCAGAACACATCCCACTCGTGAGCAGCTCCCAATATTGGTGTCAGGAGAGCCTCCTCAAAGGCCAAGTGATAAATCATCTCTCTCCTGGACAGCAATGGCGAAGGATGTAGATTAGCATGTGGACACAATCTCCATCTCTGTTTACTTACTAGCTCATTCTAGCTTTCCACAACACCAACGGGTCACCTGTGGCATTTGCAGCTTTGAACTCTCTCTTCAATTCCCCACCACTTTCAGGTGATAACCTCAGCTACTATCTTGGTTCCAACTGTGGTTCTCTTTTTTTTTTTTTAATTTACTTTTGTTGGACAGAGAGAGAGAGAGAGAGAGAGAGAGACCACAAGTAGGCAGAGAGGCAGGCAGAGAGAGAGGAGGAAGCAGGCTCCCCGCTGAGCAGAGAGCCCGATGCGGGGCTCGATCCCAGGACCCTGAGATCATGACCTGGGCCGAAGGCAGAGGCTTAACCCACTGAGCCACCCAGGAGCTCCCCAACTGTGGTTTGTTTATGGCCTGGGATTCCAAAGCCTGAGGCACAACATGGTGCTAATGGGGCCAGTGAGAGATCCAGGTCCCTTCTCTGTTTGGGATTCTAGGGAAAGGGGAAGGAATGCTAGTTATTTTTGGTGGGATGAGTCATGCAAAATTAGGAGTGGCCCCCAGGCCTGTTCTAACTTCTTCATGCAACTCTCATCCATGAATTTAGAGAATACCTCTTCTGGGCACTGTATATTTGTGTTATCTGGAGGAATTGTTCATTGAATACTTAGTGTACAGAGTAAGGTCTCTTGTTTTGTGGTTCCAAAAGGTGCTCATGCTTCGGGGCAGGAGGGTCGCACAGTTCTGGTATTTGGGGACTGGATGACAACGTTATACTCCTACTAACCTCCCATGATCTGTCTCCCTGTTGTCTCTGTGCCTGTGTCTCCTGTGACTTTCTGTTGCAGACACACTGCTGGTTTGCTGTGCCTCAAACATGGCATGCATGCCCTTCCCTCGGGGCATCCTCACTTGCTGTTCCTTCTGCCAGGCATGTTCTTCCCTCCTCGTTCATGCTGCTTCCTCTCTCACTTCCTTCAGGTCTCCATACACAAGCCATCTTCTTCTTCTTGCCGATCCCTTCCCTGGCTAACCCAGTCAAAACTTTATCCCTTCACCCTGACAAGTCTTCCTTCGGCACTTTGATCACTAATATACTGTGTATTTTGCTTATTTTTCTTGTTTATTGTCCATATCCCCCATGACAACTATAAACTCCATGAAGAAGGGTTTCCATTTGTTTTATTTACTACAGGATCCCTAACACCTAGAAATGTGCTGGTACATAGTAGTTGCTCAATAAATGTTTGCAGAACCGGTGAATTGATTATGTTAAAAGCTTCCACCAGATGTTGCCTGTCTGAGAAATTGCCAGAGAAATCTCTTCGGTTCTCTGTTATCATTTTACTCTTCCTGAAACCTCCCTAGCTCCACCCAAAGGTAAATGGAAAGAGTCAAAGAGGTCTGTGGCTCCAGAAACCCTAAAGGGACCCCGGGGCAACTGGCTTTCCATGAAGATGAACTTATGATGCCTAGACAGTAAGCAAAGATACATTGAATTTAAAAATCTTTTCACTTTGGTTGGCAACCTAAACCTTGTCGGGTAAACACTATAGACAAAAGCACTGTTTAGGGAAACTCACTTTATAGCAAAACAAAGAAATCAGGCTCAGCAAACTTCTGGCCAATGGTAGACTGAGTGTGTGCAAGACAGAGCTTAGCTGTTTGCAGCCACAGCCTATGCCAAGCGTCCGTCAAACTTAAAAATAGGCTCTAGTCTCCCCGTGCTTGAATGACTCTCGTTAAGGAATCTCTGGGTATTAGCTCTAAACACAGACCCACAACTATCTTTGAAACGGGGCTAAAATCAAGAGAGCAAAGCCATCAAGCATTCTTCCCACTGGACTATGGCACCCCAGCTCAGGCACAGGATTCGAAACAGCCCTAAGAGGATCTCTATTATTGAGGTCAGAGTATGTCGTATGGGTAATAGAGTACGTGTATATTTTACAATTTCCCTGAACCTCAGAAGTGAATTGAATAAGCAGTTCATTAAATAAATGATTCAAATAAACTGTCTGGAACTCTGGACAGTGGTTCTGAAAGTATGGTCTGGGATTCCCCTAACAACCAGCATCAGAATCATCTGGAGAGAGTGTTGAAAAAAATGTGTTTTAAAGGACACGTAGAGACCTGATGAATAAGCCTGTCAGGGGAGGGGCCTGACGGTGGCTCCCTGGGCCTCTCCAAGTGAGTCTTTTGGGTTGTGACTCACTCCTCATTCTCTGGTGTGATGAGAAAGGCTCTCATTTTCAAACAGAAGCACAGCAAAATCCTAAATAACCCCACCAGTTGCCTCAGAACAGGAACCATCCATATCTGGATTCCCTCTGGGAAGTGGGGCCCTTTCCTGAGGCCCTACCTTTTCCTTCAGCTATATTGGTTAAGAGAAACCTAGAAGAGTCACCACAGGAGCCAACCAGAGGATTTTATGAGCTACCCAGGAAAAGCAAGCCTAATCCCTTCTTGGCAGGTTTCTGCAAGAAGTCAAGTGAAGGAAATGGGACTCCTTTCTCCACTTTTCCTTCCCCTCATGCAACCTCTGGCCTCTCTCCCTGTACTCTGAGAGCTAACACACCCACTCTCTACCCGGTGCGCATTTTATTAAGGAAGGACAAGATGTTTTCATTCTTTCTCCTGGGTTTTAGAGGGGAGTTAGCACAGACAGCTTCGGACTAACAGCTGGAGTTCAATGAGCTCCTTTTGCCTCAACATCCGGGAGAGGTGCCAGGCCTGGCCTCTACTAACCCAGAATCTTCCTGGGGAAGGAGGCTGGGTCAGGCCTTGGGCCAGAGGAAGGGATCCTTCAGCATTGGTTGGTAGTGGTGCCAGATACCCCTTTGTATTAGTTCAGATAAGGGCTGCTCTTCGGAAAATTAAAACACATTTCAGTTCCCCCTTTTCCCTTCTGTCAAGTTTCTAGACCTGGTGCAAAATAGTTCAGTCAATAATCCACCCTTTTGATGGTTTCTTTATCTGTTGTATAATGCTAGGGTCTCCCCCTTTTCTTTTAACTGTTGATAAGAAACACTTGAGGGAGGCTAGAGAGCACTTTGGCCGATTCTCAGAACAAAGGAGAGCCCCCATGGTTACATCTTACATAAGGGCGTGAACTGCTGGCTATTTAGGCCCAGATTTCATCATCCATTGGGCCCCCAAAACTGTCATCCTGGGGAAAAGCTCCCTCTGAGACTGCCAGGGAGGTTTTGATACTGGGACATTGGAGAGCTGTGTTCTGTGTGAGTCATTCAGCCAAAGGCTGGAAAGGCAAGTATCCATTGAAAGCTCTCCAGAAGGAGCGGCAGCTCTTGGTGGGAACAGTGGTTCTCAGTGGGAATCTTCTCTACCAAGACTACTGACACAGGGTATGAGACCCGATATTGGCCATTGGGATTTTCATTTCCCAGGTGTGTCATGGGGCTTCTGTGCTCATTCCTGAGAATTCCTGTGCAACTGTTGCTTCATTCAGAATCTCTGTTTCATAAAACTTGTTGTAGTCATGATTTTTGCCAACTAGAAAGTTCTGGGAGGTGGACTTCCACATATTCCCTGCAGCCCCCGCTCTCTGCCTGTCTCAGTTTCTTAACTAGCATGGAGAAGGAAGAACATGAACTTTGGAAATGAATAGGCCTGAATTTGAGGTCTTAGTCATGCCATTTATTAGCCCTTTGACCTGGGACAAGTTACCTGACCTCTTTGAGCCTCCGTTTCTATGTCTCTACAACATATTTCTATGTCTCTGAGAGGGATGATAATAATTCAGTGTGCTGTTGGAAGGATGGAATTCAACAATCCAAGGGAACTGCCTTTCACAGAAGAAAGTCTCAGTAAGTGTGAGCGGCTATTGCTGTCGT